ATTGTCAGGGAGGCGAAAATTTTGCCCCTGTCCTGGGCAGCAAATGTAGCTGCTATGCCACTGCTTTCATGTCATTCATTCATGGTGTATTGGCCAGTGAAAAGGAGGTTGTCCTCTTACATCTGTTCTGACGTCGGCTGCTGGGATATTTTATCACTTTATATAAAATGGAGTGCAGAATAGGTGCCACGTGCTGCTCAAGAGTGCTTTCATTAAAGTGTAGTAGCTAATTAAAAGTTGGCATTCCAGTCCGAAGTACGTAATCTGAAATTCAAATAATCACAAGTAGGTGGTCGACACAACAAATGTACCAGTTCCTTATGCGCAAGTAGCTTATATCACAGTTTCTATTCTAATAAATTCTTCCCGCACAATCACGCTAGATGACTTTGAGCCAGCTGAGCCCATCGATGCTTTGGTACACCATCGTTTTTTTCTTAATACAATCCTCAGCCTAATTATAAGATGAAGCATACCCTTCTTTGAACTAACCTGTTTTATTTCCAATTAAACGTATAACAAGGAACTGGAATATATTTGCACTAAACGAATTGCGGATCAGTGCAATTGAGGATAGCGGTTTAACTGAACCAGACAGAACTTTACGTATCGGTGGATTTCAGTAAAGTCAAATGAATCGGCAATAGAGCAGAGCAGTGGAGAAGTTTTATTTGTTCTCGGAAACCAGAGAGGATTGTTAGTAAACAATTATCCATCCACTGCAATCTGGGCCAACAAAGGACTATTTCGCGAGCGGTCCATGTATTGATAAGTAGCAGGTCTGGTTGACTGATGCTCGTGTTTAAATCATTTATCTTTGCCTATGCAATCCGATACGTAATGTCGACGCATACCACGGATAACCGGTTTTCGTACGCTGAAGCGTCTGTTAGAGCGCCCTGAGTGACTCTTTTGTGCTAATGACCGACCCAGTGAAACATTTGGGACTAAGTTCGGTTACTCAGAAAATCTTTTGCGGCCTTTATCTTGACAACTACCTTAGCATATGCCGTTAGTGCACTTTTCCTCTTTACCTATACTGCCTGCAATTAGCCGAAATCGATTCTACATTCGGATCTTTTCCAGTTAAGCCCCGCCACTAATGCAAAAGAGCACGCGCAAAAAGTTAAGCCCCGCCACTAAGGCAAAAAGGGCACACCTGAAAAGTCACTCCCCACCAATAGTGCAAAAAGGGCACGTGTGAAAAGTTGAGCCCCGCCACTGTTTGCCAGCTCCAGTGTACGTAATGCATGTGAACGTGTCCCATAAAAACACTCCTTATCCGCTTCTAAGGTCATTTTTGTCCAAAAAATTTCTACGTTCGCAGGTAAAACCTGACATGAACTTTCTGACGCTTTCGGCGGTCGTTCATGACAAGGAAACAGCAATACGTTTTTTGCAAAGTCATGGAGTGATTCATCATCAACGTTTATGCAGACGAGGACACCAAATGACACTTTCAACTGTTTCTGACAAGTGGAGGTGTGATGCCCGACAGTGTCGGCAAGAAATCGATCTTCGAAAGGGAACTTGGCTGAAGCGGTCTAGGATGGATTTCAGGACAATAATCCTATTCATTTATTGCTGGTCCAAAAATCTGACAACAATCAAATTCTGCTCAGAGGAGTTATCTATTGGCCACGCGACCGCTGTCGACTGGAAGAACTTTCTGCGTGAAATTAGCGCCTGGCAGCTTTTGCAGACTCCAACGATTGTCGGCGGCCCAGGTCTACAAATCGAGATCGATGAAACCCTAATATCACGTCATAAAAACCATGCAGGACGAGTCCTTCCACAGCAGTGGATTTTCGGAGGGATTTGCCGGGAGACTAAAGAAGTGTTCTTGTATGCAGTGCCAGATCGAACTGCGGCCAATCTGCTGGACACAATCCAGGCCTGCATCGCTCCCGGCTCAATTATCATTTCCGATATGTGGGCATCATACCAAGGCATTGAATCGATGATTGGCATGAGTTATACTCATCAAACGGTTAATCTTACCGAAAACTTTGGGGATCCAACGACTGGAGCTCACACACAAACCATGGAATCTCTCTGGCACATTTACAAGATGCAGGATAAGCGCCAACCGATCTTTAGTGGACAGCTACCTGTGTGAGTTCGTTTGGAGGCAAAGACACCGAAAAATGGACCTTTTCATGCAAATTATTAATGACTTGTCTCAATTTCACCCTCTTCAATAGAGAGTAAAAGTTCAAGTTCCATATTCTCCCTTTTCACAATCTTTTTTGGGTGACGGAGCTTAACTTTTTGGCGGGGCTTAACTGGAAAAGATCCCTACATTCATCATTATAGTAGATTTATGGCTTCACCGAAACTTTGTGAACGAAATTACTCCCATACAAACGATCATTCAGCAGCAGACTACTAGTCGCTCGCACTAGTTAAATGTATCATTTTATTAAAAGCAACAACTTACAAGTTAAGACCGGTGGTGTTAATGTTGTATTATATATATATATATATTGGATACCGTATGTGGACATATAGCCCTATTCCTTTCTTTTTTCCATAGCTGAAAACGTCCAAACGGGACGGCTGGACGTCCATCTGTGTGGAATGGGTTGCCATAACCCGTCCATAAGAGTGCCGCACGACTAAATTCTGGAACATTTCTCTACATATTTTCGAATGCGTACTACAGACGTGTGAGTTTATAGCTTCATGAAATGAGCGCATCTAAATGGCAAATTGACCAAATTGTATACACCTACACTCATATCACCTTGACATCTGTTCCCGGCCTGCTACTACTGCAAGGCCAGGGTCAAAAATGCGACTTTCTGCACACACAGAGTTAGGCCAAGTTGTGTTGGTAGCCACGGCCTCAGCATATCGTAAAGTTAGGGGGTTCATTGATGCATAGATAACACGGAACGCCCGCACGGGGTCTACACAGTGGTTGTCAGCCAGCAGGTGGCGGGCGATTGATGAAGCTGGTTGTTTGTATGGAACTTCATTTCGCCTCCTTGGCTGAGCATTCGAGATGGTTGAGGTAGCCATCTGCAAAATGTGTTTACACGTAAACGCTGGTATGTGCTCCGCGACCCTCACCCTCAATTGTCGTTCTGTCATACCCACGTATTCGGTCTTGCAAATATATGTAAATTGGTAAACGATCTCTGAACAGCTGGACAGTGACAGCAGGGGTTTAACCGACGGAGTGCGGATACGATTCGTTGTGTAGATTAGAACAGCTTCCACCGCAGAGTATCCGCGCGCTACTGCAAATTTCAATCGGCGTTGAAAAATCTGGCATAACTCAGCGCCCTTGAATGGCAACTACAGGGTTACCTTCATCTTCGGTACCGTGGGCACATATTTTTTTCTCAGCAATAAACTGTGCGATGAAAGACGGTGGGTACCCATTGTCTATGGGGAGGTGCTGGTATTCAGTCGCACCTGTTGTTCCAGCGTGTCAGCAGTGCATATTATTTTAGCTCTGTTGAACAAAGTCTTCATCAGACCTTGCGGACAAAGCTGTAGAAGCTGAAGTACCGTCCATTCCACGTTGACTTGAGGTAAACTGATCTACGTACTGAACTGTCACTCCTACGCTCTATCAGGATGTTCAGGAACGGCAGCGTATCATGATTTTTGCGCTCCGTTGTCTCTAATGTTTCGGTGTAAGCCATTCAACTTAGTAACCAGTTGGGCCAAATGAAACTCGCTGTCGCAGAGTAAAAAAGTCGTCCACATATCTACAGAACAGCACTGTTTCATAGATCTCCTCCTTGACTTGATTCTCGAGATGCACCATGAAAATGTCTGCTAATACCGGTATCAGTGGACTGCGCATTTCAACCCCTTCCACTTGGCGATAGCCTTGTTCTTGAAAATAGAACTTGACATTTGATGTACATAAGAGAAGTCGTGCTAATGCCGAGACTGGTTTGCTTATTTTAATTTGGTTCTAGACCACAGGATTACAGATAAGGTGGATCATCTCCTTTAGTGACACATTGGTAAATAGTGAGAAGATATGGATGCTGGCAATGAACATTCCGCGCAGTTCTATACCGTGCAGAAATTCCACTAAATAAAATGTATCTCTTAGACTATGTAAAACCCCTGATCGCTTAAGTGACTCCAACAGTGCTACTAGACACTTCACTAGCTTGTATTGTGGGGAATTGCTCATGGATAGAATCGGTCTCAGAGAGACGTCCAACTTGTGCAATTTTGACAACCCATAAAGCCGCGGTGTCTGCGTACCCCTGGGTCTTAAAGATTTTGCTGTCGCATCATTTGGGAAATTTCCTTCTAACCACGTTTGCAGTTTAATGTTTATTCTTTCCTCCAAATAAATTGGGTTGTTAAGCTTGTCATCTGTTTCGATTTTAGGACGGTTGCTCAATACTGCCATCATCTTTTCCACATAAGCCGATTAGTCTAACACCACAACACCCGAACATTTGTATGAGTGGAAGACAAATAACTTTTCCTCTGATCTGAATTGTTTTAAGCCCTCTACATGTTTAGCTTCCAGGGGAGATTTTTGAGCAGAGCTGAATATTCGACACTGGTGTTCAAGATTCACGAGTTTGTTTTAAGCCAATGTTATTTTTGGAGGTTGGTGTAAATCCTACAATTTGTTTGTAAAACACCTCTATTTGAGCTAGGGTTTCTATGTTGTTGGTCTTTCCAAGTGGAACAAAAAATTTCGACCCACGTGACAGAGCCTCTAGTTGTAGTGGAGCTAATGGCACAGAGGAGAGGTTGGTAACATACTTGAAAATATGCAGGGAAACTTTTCCGGAATTAAATCGTGCGCCAATCGTGTGTTAACTTTTCTGCTAAAAGGTTCCTCTGGAACTAATTGTTTCAATAACCCGTTCAATCTAAGTGCTGTCCCTCAAGCTTCTAAGCCTCATGCATTTTTGCACGGTGAAGCATCAGATTGACAACAACAGCCTTGTCCTACGCTTGATGATGTTCTGTATATCAAAGACAGATCAACGCGACATATGATTGGAGCGATTTGATGTGCATTCTTTCCAGTTGGTTGGACGAAATCAATCACACTCGTTAGTCTATTCATAAGAGAGAGGAGACAACCTCACACATAAGGAGCAGCTCGTTTACCCACTAGTTTTCTGCAGTCTGATGAAATGGGGATCGAAGGGAAAGCCTACCTCTTGCTTGGTATAATCGCTTTTAGCCTCTGTCAAGGTAAGCCAAATGTTTTACGAACATTACTATTGGTGTGCTGAGCAAATCAAATATGCTTCTGTTGGGTTGTAAACAAATAAATTCAAACTGGGTTTCCCAGCCGTAAAGATAACATACATGGATGGGAGATCGTTAACTCCTCAGATTGAAACTATCCTATGGAAATATACGGTTGGGATCTACGTCGGACAAGGCTGGATCAGTTAAATAAATAAAAAAACAAAGGTTTTATTCCTTGACTGTGTGAGGTACTATCCAACTGAGTGGACTCTTCGATTTGTATACGGATATCACATAACATTTTTGATTGCTCATGTTATATGTAACGGGTTCCAAATGGGTTTCTGAAATGAATGGTAGTTTGCTAGTATTAAATAGAGTAAGAAACTTGGAAAAGTACCAATTACAGATTTAGGCAAAAGTTCAAGTAAAGTAATTGGGTCATTAATGGAACCGTTCCCAGCGAACCTATTACTTTGTGGGTTATTCCCTGGATGGGTTTCACCCGCAATTCCATTGGTTGTGTGCCGGTGTAGCATGTAAGCCATCACCTGCTTCACAAACGTCTTTTTATTAGGGCTGTTTTATGCCTGCACTATGGGCGATGAAGCCTCAGCGTGATCCGTCATGCGGATCATCCAAATATTGCAATTTTTTGTTATTTACCAATGAGTCAGTGCCGGTATGGTTTGCCTGGGTATAATATTTTTATTTATTTTGGAAGCTATAATCCGTCATCTCAAGAGATAAACCCAGTCGTGGTCAACAGTGAAATAAGCAAGAATAGGCCTGATTAATAAAAACACAATAATGTTTACAATATGTTGCTAGTAGGCCAAGCACAATTCGGTGGAAAATCATTTCAAACAATGACGATCATGCGGAAATTGCAGGTTTGAAGCCATGGATCATCCCCGAGCCAGTGCACCAAGGGAGAAGAAGACGGTATTTATTAGACGAGAGTGTGGAAGTGATGGGAATAAGACGGATTGTAAATACATACTAAGGAGTTCATCCGTGTGAAGATAAATTATACGATTAAAGCAATTAAGGGATATTGCAAATTTTAAGTGTAACCAGGACCTATCTCATACAAATCATCCATACTCATCTTTTGGCTAAGTATTGGCAATATATTGTAAACAGCCAGCAGTTTCTGATATTCTATGAAAGTTTACTCCATGTCAACGCCTATTTCACTGAGAAAAATGTGTGCGCAGTTTGGTAGGAGAATTTTGTAAATATAAATGGTACTCGCTGTTTCTTAGGTCGTAGCGATTAGCAGCCTGAACTACGAAGTTTGGCTGAGCTTTAAAGCTTAAGCCGAATAGTAAGCGGTATAGAAGGCTCAGATTAAGTCTGAGTCTGCACAGCCATAGCGGCTGCCATTTTAGAGCCTCGCAACTCTCCCAGTAAGTCCTAATGTTGGGCATGTTCAAGCATCTCTGTGAATGATCGTTGGATGTTTTCCAGTGCTATGATCTCCCGTTTTCTCAAATTTCCGTGCACATTTGTAACGAATTCAAGCTTCGGCTTAACAGACATTTCAAAATGTCTGTCCAGACATTTCAAAGGTTGAAGCCTGGAAACCCTCAAGACATGAGTTCGCTTTATGTAGGCGGTTGTTTTTTGATAGAAGTCTGCAAGAATATAACTTTCGCTAAAAGGTTACTTGAGGCGGAATATCTTAGACAAAGTTCTCAGACTGTGCCACATAGGGATCGGACTATTGTTTAAGATTAGGATGTTCGGTTGTCTCACAGCCGTATTACGGTAGATTACACTTGCCATTGGCGAAGTGCAATTTACTAGAGTTAATCCAATGCTCTAATGTTGACAGGGCAAACTGACTACATGACGAATTAGGACTAACTTGCTCAGGAGCGGAACAGTACACAATTTAAGTATCTGCAGCGAAGAGGAATGGATTCCCGAAGATAATTTTATTAATGAGATCGCTAAAGTAGACCAAAAATAAAAGCGGACCCAACACGCTTGTTTGAATCACTCCACTTGATATTGAAGTGGCTTCAGATGTACAGTTACCAATTCTGACTATTTGCTTTCTGCCCTCTAGGTAGGAAGACAACCACTTTAGATGCGAATTGTTTACTATCATCACATAATCTTCTGCAGCACAAATTCGTGTGGGACACGGTCAAACCTTTTTGAATATCAAGAAATATTACAACGTTAGCACTTCGGACGTCTCTACCACTAGTTACACAGGTAGAGCATGACCTACTCTTTATAAAACTGTGCTGATGTTTATTGATTAATCCTACAGAACTCAACTATTCTAATATGCGTTCTATATCTAACCTCTCCATGATTCTTGAAATAACGGATATGTGGCGGATTGGGCGGTAATTCTGTGCATCCTGCATCGAACCACTTTTGTGTAGTGGAAGTATAATTGATTGTTTCCGGTGCACATTATACTACTCTCCTTCGCTCTTGGAAAGCGTAAATATATCAGGCAGAAAAAAGACGATGTCTGGACATCCTCGTTTGACTAGAATTAGCGCGCTGTTGTCAGGGCCTGGAGAGCAAGATGAACGAATCAGTCTGATTTGGCGACAAATAACACAAAGTTCGAATGCAATAGTTTGGGGTTTATTGCTGCCTTTGCTTATCAGCTTGGGTTGAGATTATTCTCTAGCATTAGTGCAATAAGTAGACAGGAAGTAGTCACTGAAGCTCTAACATTTGCTTACGCGATCTATTATGGCAGTTCCACCAGAGGTTAAATTTGAGTTACTATTGCTTAATTTCCTGTTCTGTCTAGGACCCAAAAGTTTTGAGTTGAAGCCTGCCATGTTTGCGCCGTTCAATACCATTACCTCATCGGAGCATAGCATTTCGTGATGATAATGCTATAACGCTGTTAGCATTCTTCTATGGAACATCAGTAGGGTAAAATCGTTAGTTTTCCGAAATGTTTCCTCTATTTTATGTAGTTCGGTGGCTAGCATTTACGAGATACCTGGTGGAGCAGCAATACTTTGCAACGTATTTGCGCATTGTTGAGCCACAACTTCAAAGCAAAGCTGAATATGGTGGTAAAACTCATCACAAGCAATTTGTACATCTTTTTTCAGGAAAAGTTGATCCCAATGCGCAGACCTTATGAAATCAGAGAACTGACTAATTCACAAAAGAGAATGGGCGGTATCTGGCCATTGATTTTATCGGTTTGGAAACAATTTGGAAAGAACAACCAACGATGTTGTGATCACTCCCCGGTAGTCTGCCACTGATGTATGCTGACACATTCAAACGTCACATAATAAATATTAGATCAAGTGTTTTACCAAACCGGGTATGCTCTTCGAAGTGTTATTTCCATCCCAGTTGACCAAGAGTAGGCGTAGAAGTGTTGCGCTTTTATGGTTCATTGTTGAGTGGCCATTTGCGTTCGGGCATATTAAAACCCCAGCGATAATTTTATGAGTGCTTGAGAGATCGGCAATTAAAGAAAACTGGCTATAAAGTCAGTAGTTACTGTGACCGCACAGATTTGTTGGGGAAGTAGAAATGGCAATCTACACCGGATTGGGTATTATCAAACGGAGTGGTTCATCAAGGGGAAGAACCACGTATGTGTTTTGACATAGATTAAGTAGCCACCGCCTTTACCATAAGGGCGGCCATTACAAAAGATGTTATCACCCAATATCCCAAACAGTGTGTCTGGCTTCTCCACTGAACCTCATATTTTTGTTATAAGTATTACATCAGCCGATGAAAGATGAAGAATATTACTCAACAATGTGAGAATCAGTAGTATGCGCAGTGTCTTCTTCTCCGTTGGGTTGCCTACAGGAATCTAGATAAAGGACCACAGGGAGGTGGTGGTGTTCGAGACGGAGGAGATATAATTTGCTAAAATATTATCATTTGTGGGTGGTCGGTAAACCTCCACAGTATCCAAAAAATGTTGGAAGGGCGAAATACTGGGAAAATTTCGACCCTCTGTAAAATTACAGCTTGTTGGCTTTTGCACATAACCTATGTGCCCATAAAGGTTATATACATGTCGAGGAAGCTTTCGAGGATATGGTTTTGCCAATTTATCTCGGCTACGTGATTTTTGCTAGCAAGCGGCTCAGAATTTATGGAGGACACAGGTTGCATGCGCAAGTGTTGCGCACTTGGTAATATGCTGATTGTCGGCAGACTTCCAGTGGTGACAGAGTTTGGGGAAACTTTTGAAATAGCAACGTTTTTATTGTACTTAGGATCACCCGTATAGATTTTACGTGAGATTTTGCTATGAGTGTTCTTCATAAGAAAGCTGTTCCTCAGTGTTTTATCTTTTAGAGGTGTACATCCTTTTGGTGAAGACGTTTTCGGTTTCGTACCAGATCGTCTATGCATCTCGTTGGTGAACGACAGAAAGACCAGACATGGGTGTTTGAGCAGGGGAAGTATGTTGTATGTTCGGGGACGAGTTGTACAGTAATGGTGAGCTAACGCAACACTAAGTGGAGTCAGAAGCGCTAATTTTCTGACAATTGAGATTTGTTTTTAACAGCAGAGTGGATCCATTTATGGCCGTAGTATTAACTAGGCCCACCACTTGGGGAAATTCCCAAGTTCCTGTGGGTAGCAGAATAAATGTGTCACAAGCGGTTTGTCGGTCACAGACCCATTTTCACTCCCTTTGTAGTACGGTTAAGTCTTGTTTCAGTTTCAATCATCTGTAATCATTTCTCAGGGATAATTTGCCTCTACTACAGATGAATATTTCGACCAGTGTTTCCTTTGAGATTTACTTGGTCAGACCTGTTTTAGATACAGCTTTCACAGTCCCCGCAAATAATACTGCAGTCTAGCAATAGGGCAATCTTTAGCCACTGCGGTCGAGATAGACTCAATGGATAACTTTTCTGGCAAATTAAATGCTATACTATTTTTCGTGCGTTTTGTGCGCTTATGAACCTCAAAAGCGACATGTTAAATAAAATTCCTAACAGACTGCGAATGCTCACTTTTCG